TGTAAGGAATATTCTGTGAGACTAGAAAAAACTAGGTAAAAGTACAGTCTGAATTCTACATCTGGGACAGACTTGGCAACAGGCTAAAGTGAAGCCATCATTTCATCTCCTTCCCAAGTCTAACTGGCATCCCAACTCTTTCTCACTATTGTATTTCCTGAAGCTAGCCTGGTGCAGCACACCTGACACACTTGGTATTGATTAAATATTTAGCTTTTAATGTTTTAGTAACTCATTCTTCTTTCTCTGATTATACAGGTTCTCTAAAGTTTCCACGTTTATTAATGATATAATGAAAGTGCTTTCCCCCAACAACTTGTCATCTGGAATGTTTTCTGGGCAAACACAAGCATAAATAGTCTCTTCCTATGTAATTGGACATCAATGTCTTTAACCCTAGTCTGGCATAAAGACTAATCCAGTGTATTTAAAAATACTCTTTTTCCAGAAGAAGACTATTGCAATTTTCCTAGGTTCCTTCATTGTTAATGGATTTCTTTAGGATCCTTTAAGATGCTAGCACCACAATGGACAATCTAACTCAGCTGGAAAAGATAATTATATACTAAGATTTTTACTGCTCCACACCAAACTAAGCTGTTTTATTGCACAGACTATATATTATTCACATTTGTGTTCTCAGTGCTTATCACAAGGTTTATATTTGTTAGATAGTTGGACAAATGGATAAACCAGTAGTTTGCTGGTAAATGTTTAATAACCAGTCTTCAGAAGAAAAAGAAAGCTCTGATTTGCTGATTTCCTTAGTGTAAATACTCCCAGATGGCCAACTTAGCAACATGACATCTCTAAATACAGAGTTGGGAAGAGATGTTAACTATCGCCCTTCATGACACAGTATGAGTTGGCTCTAGCACACATCACTGGATGGAACTGGATTGGACAGTATGTGATGCCAAATGCCCGTATTTGCTGATGTCAACCTTATGTAGTCCAGTTAAACTTACAGGAAAAACTGGGCTACAAGTTATTGCCTATTCTCCTCCACACGTACTACAGGTGCTACACTGATATACCGTAAGAAAAAGCCACAGACTTTTGCCTACACATGTATTTTAGAGGTGGGCTTTCTTACTAATCAGAACATTTAACATATGCCTTTTAATATTGTTAACCCCCATACAACAACTTCTAGGCTAAATTATATAACAACTGCACAGAATATGAGTGTTGTCCTATTATATTTTTTGCATCTCTCAGTAAATCATTTTAATAGGGAGTTTCCACTTTCAAAATTATAGACCAACCTAAATATATATACACAAATTGTATAAAGTCATTAAAAATGAATATGAGTGCCAGGACTGGTTTGGCTCAGTGGATAGAGTGTCAGCCTGTGGACTGAAAGGTCCCGGGTTCAATTCCGGTCAAGGGCATGTACTGTGGTTGCGGGTACATCCCCAGTGGGGGGAGTGCAAGAGGCAGCTGATTGATGATTCTCTCTCATCGATGTTTCTAACTCTCTATCCCTCTCTCTTCCTCTCTGTGAAAAATCAATAAAAAATATATAAAAAAACACACACACAAAAAAAAACAGTTGCACAAAAAAAAAATAATAATAAAATAAAATAAATAAAAATGAATATGAGTGATTGACAGAAACAAAACTCAGAGGCATTTAATTATTTTTTTGGTTTTCTCATAAGCTTTCTCTATGAGAAAACACAAAAGTTTTTGAGAAATACAAAATAAAGAATAAAGTGGCTGGCTATATATTTCATCTTTGGAATAATGTCAAGAAAAGAATAAATAGGTTAGGATCTTCCTGGACAAAACTATTGTCTAGGAGCAAAGGTGAACAAATTTTAAAACAGCTATTAACTCTTTTCAGCCAAGCAGGAAATATACCAGCATAATACTTCAGTCAATATTGACCTAAAGCTTACTTACTTGCTTTTCACTGCTATATCAAGTCTAGTGATGTTAAATTTCCTTATGATGCGACAAAGCCGGTAGAGAACAAATATCACAGTCCTTCTTCGAACAAAAGTCAAAACAGAAACAGAAATCTTAAGGCTAAATCCATAAAACCCATAAAATATGCAATGTTTTCCATTTCAGAAGCCTATCCATTGTTCTATCTGCCTAAGAGTCTCCTGAAAGAAAGTAATTGTCTTCTGTTTTGTGATGCTAAGATTATTGGGTGGCAGCAGAACTAAGGAATCCACAAAACTGAAAAATAGCTAATGAAGGATATAAGCTTAGGTTAAAAACAAAGCAGAAACTAACAATGTTAAAAAGAACTGTTAGGGAAAAGAGCTGTTCTTTCCACCTCATATTATAGAAAATGTAAGATAGACAGAAAAGTTTGACATGAAAAGGAGTATCCTAATACTCTATTTTAACATAAGAATAATCCATGAGCATGAATACATATTCAATTAAGGAGAAAAATACAAAGATCATTGACATATATTATTCAGAAAATAAACTCATGAATTATAGAGAAGATAGAAATCATCTATCCATCCATCCATCCATCCATCCATCCATCCATCCATCCATCTATAATATCTATCTATCTAAGCATAATTTGCAAATTGACTGGATGGCGGGATGACCAGTTGCTATGATATGCACTGACTACAAGGGAGCAGACACTCAACACAAGAGCTGCCCCCAGTCCACAGGCCCCAATTGCCCGATGGGGAACAGGGAACCAGGAGTAGGTGGCAGCGGATGTGGGCGGCTCCAGGCCAAGGTGGGGGCGAGCAAGTAGAGCCCTGATCACCCCGTTAGTTGCCTCACACAGTGTGACCAACAGCAGGGTCAGTCAGTCAGCCTCTTGGTCCCTCCCCCACACCAGCAGACTCTGATTGCCCCATGGGGAACGGGGAACTGTGGGTGGGTGGTGGCAGACACAGGCCATGGGGGGTGGAGTAGGCTACTGGCATGGAGGAAGGTTGGCCCTGATTGCAGGCCAGACCTAGGGGCCCTACCTGTGCATAAATTTCATGCACCAGGCCTCTAGTAAGAAATATAAATTAAATATATTATAGAAAGTCCTTTTCCTTTTGTAGTGTCATTCCTTATGGAGTGCTACCAAAAAAAGATAATCAATCTAGAGTGCCAATTAATTGATTCCAGAAAAATAATGAAATGACCAAGTGATGGAACAGCTTAGTCATATACCCATTTATTAAAGTCACATTTTCCCTAAGTAAGTAAATATAGACATCTTTTCAGTAAAATAGTATATAAAGTTTAAAGTGCTAATCATCAGTTATATGCCACCTAATTACATTTTTTCCTCAATAAATACAAAAGGAAATTGCAATTCATCTGTATGAGGGAATAATATTAGAAAACTGGGAGTTAAAAAAGAGAGAACTGGGATGTGTTTAACTATTTTTTACATAGGATACCTAAAATAAAGGCAATTTGAAAAGGATTGAATTGGCCAAGATTTATGCATCCTCAGGATTTAAAAACAAAACAAAATGACAGAACAAGCTGAAGCTAAGTCAGCTTCTTCTAAAATACCGACAATTAGTGTGGCTGGCATGGCTCAGTGGTTGAGCTCTGACCTATGAAGCAGGAGATCACAATTTGATTCCTGTCAGGGCAAATGCCTGGGATGTGGGCTCCATCCACAGTGCAGGGTATGCAGGAGGCAGCTGATCAATAATTCTCTCTCATCATTGATGTTTCTATCTCTTGCTCCCTCTCTCTTCCTTTCTCAAATCAATAATAATATATTTTTAAAAATAAGTAAAAAACAAAATACCAATCATTAGAAAAGATAATTCAATTTGTTAAAAACTAATTCTTGAAAGTTATCTTTTACGAGATTAGAGAAATATGATCTGAGCTGAAATCAGTTAAAAAATTATTTTTAAAAAAGGATACCAATGTAATCACCTGAAGAATTCCCAAGCCTTAACCCTTTAGTCCAGCGAACTACAGTATTATTGTATCCTCTTTAGATATATATGTATTTGAGACCATGTGCAACGGAAGTCTACCTATCCACAATCATAATGCAAATCAGTGACAGAAACAGATGTACACTAAGGTCTCTGAATTCAGCTTTTTCTACCATTTTGTAGTAATGTTCCCATATTGAAAGTCATATTGAAACATATACAAAACAATGCTATTTTGATTTTTATACCCTGAATCAAACTTTGCCAATCCCAATGTGAAATGACAAGAGCACTAGACAAGAGCACTAAACTAGGAGAGCTGGGATTTAATCCTGGTTCAATAATCATAATTTTAGCTGAACTCACGATGGTAATTTACTTAATATGATACTTAAGGAACATACATTTTAAAAATTTAAATAACCTTAGCCTTGCCCTAATGATATTTATAAAATTACATGTTCGATGCATTGATTTTTCTAACTTACGTTAAAATACATAAATGATAATGTGTGCCCACTCGTTTACCGTGAGTGCTATATAAACTACATTTTGGGAAATATAAAACATTTTTAAAGTCCTTCATAGTTATAAAATTCCAATATGCTAATTAAATCTCACAGTTTTCATTAAGAGGTAGGGTTTTAAATTATAGTCTCATCAATTTCAGAAGCAAAATAATGAGTCTCTCTGACGCCCAACCCCACCATCTCCTACAAGAGTTCTATGGTCACAACAGTTGGCTATCTCCCTATAGAAAGATACCTTTACTTTTTTTTTTTTTTTTTAAGCTTTAGGTTTCTTCTTTTAGATACTGAAATCATGTGGGTCCCTTAATTAAAAATTGGAGTTCATAAAAATTAAGAGAGATGGTACAAACCACTAAATAAAAGGAATATACCAGTATGTATGAAGATCCAACAACTAAAATGGATTTGCTTCTGCTGTTTCTGAACAAAGTGGTCAACTCTCTTTCCCCAACACTTTAAGAGATCACTGGAGCCTTCCTATGAGTTATGAGAGCTGAGTTATGTTTAAGAACCTTGGCATAAGCACGCAGAAGTGTTACTATTTTGGTAAAAATAAATTCACTTCTGTCCCTGTTTCTGATACCTGAACCAGCCAGATGCCATCTTTTGTGTCCTCTACCAGCTCATAGAAGTGCATTTCACCACTGAAATTGGTGCTGGAAACAGATTCAGATGCTTCTTCTTCCTTGAGTGCAGAATAGAGCTCACCTTCCATCAAGTCACCTGAAGGCAGAAAAAATAACACTAATAAGATTTTAGAAATCCATCGTTCTCATCTTCAATAATTATTTTCACTTTACAGTGTTAAAAATCATATTATACTTTCATTCCACTGTTCAGAATCTGAATATACCTATTTAAAATCCCCACACACAATAAATCCTACCAAATAATAGAGTAATATGCAAATTAACCACCACTCTACACCAACCAGTCACACCCACCAGCCAATCAGAGTATGCAAATTAACCCAACAAATTTGGTGGTTAATTTGCATTCACGGAGGAAGGGAGGAGTGAAGACTTAAGACAGCATAGAAGAAAAACAGGGAGGGAAAGTGGAAAGCAAGGCAGCTGCGGCTGCTGGTGGGAAAGCACTGGCAGCACGTGCAGGTTGGGGCGGGCAAGGCGCTCAGTGGCGACATGCGCGGCTGCGGAGTGGGCTGCGGTGGTGGAAGCACGTGCACAGTGAAACCAGGCTGTGGCTGTGGTGGGGCAGACGGGAGAGGTGGGGCAGGCGGGAGAGGTAGCAGAGGCGGGAGGGAAGCCAGCCAGAAGTTTTGCAGGAATATTCCTGCAACAGGTCCCTAGTATATAATAAGAACCTATTATGTATTAGGCAAATATGAAAAAAAAAAAAAAAAAAAGACAAAAACCCTTCTTCTCAGGGGCTTATATTCTCGTGGGGTCATCAGATAAGTTATTGAATGTATACCAGTCTAAAAGCCACCACAATATCATTTAGTTTTGTGTACAACATATCCAGGCTTCAAATAATTATTTATAAAATATGTTTTTAATGATTTTAGAGAGAGAGGAAGGGAGAGGGAGAGAGAAAGAAACACTAATGTGAGAGAGAAACATCAACTGGTTGCCTCCAGTGTGCACTCAGACTGGGGATCAAACCCACAACCTAGGTATTGAACTGGGAATCAAACCCACCACCTTTTGGTGCATGGAATGATGCGCCTAAACAATTGAGCCACACCAGCCAGGGCCAAACAATTTTTTTTGTTTTGTTAATCCTAAACGAAGGATATTTTTTCCATTGATTTTTTTGAGAGAGTGGAAGGGGGAAGTAAGGGAGAGAGGGGGAGAGGGAGAGAACATCCACGTGGAAGAGACACATCAATTGGTTGCCTCCATCACCAGCCCTGATAGGGCTGGGTATGAACCTACAACCCAGGTACTGACCTTGACCAGGAATCAAACCCTTGACCTTTGGTGCTCTGGCTGGTGCTCTAACCACTGAGTACTGGCCAGGGCCAAAAATTTTTTGAACAGTATGTTTTATATACTTCTGACTTACAAGATTTAGAAATGAGTTTACAGAATTTGCCATTACTGAATGCTTAAAATAGCAACAAATCTTATATGACTTGGAAATTAGATATAAAAGATTACCTATAAGAACAAACTCCATATTCACATAAATATTAACAGTATAAATTTAGAGCTTACATCATCAAATAAAAAGTAAAGGAAAAAGCTAATGTCAAATCATTTTAGCTTTTGCCTTAAATTTTAAACCTGAGAAAACAATCACTTTATCACGATAGCAACAAAACGATTCACAACGAATAAAGTTAAACTGCAATCCCAAGATTTCTTTGCTATAAAATGTGTGATCTGAGTCATATTTTTGTGGGCTCTGTGTATTCTTCAAGTGATATATACACTCCTGTATACTCAAAGTGTCAAATATTTTTAGGTCCCAAAAAGGCAACACTAAATAAAAATCAAAGGAAAAAGAGTGTTATTAAACTATTTACCATGAAGATGGCTTTGGCAGTTAAGACACTTCTCATTTCTAAACCTAAATGTTTACTTATTAGAAATCTACTTTACTCCATTCCCTCCACCCAGAAATAAGTCACCATAAACCAGTTTGTAAACAAGAGGCAAGAATAATACACAATTTTGTTTCCTCTGAAGAAAAATGTATCACTTTTACATGGAGGCTTCCCTCCTCTGCACAATAGTAATATGAGTTTAATAACCCTTAACTTGCAAATATGTGAGTGCTAAAACCTCCAGAATTAATATTCTCGTCTAACATAATTTATGGCTATAGGATACTAAATAAAGAAACAACTTTTCTTGTAAAAGATAGCTGACAGCTATACTTAAAACAAGGAAGAAAGATAACCATCAGTCTCAATTGCTATCTACAACAACCCAGAATGCCTTTCCCAAATGATAGTACATCCCCCCTTTCAGGAAGAATATATCTAAATCTGAACAAGGATATCCTTTGTCCAGGGGTGAAAAAAAAAATTGACCATATTTCTCACCAAATCCTACCCCAAAACCAATAATTACTGAAATTGCATTTTTTAAGATGCTATTCTCTTGTTGCTATGTCAGTTCTATTTATCAGTTCATTTAGGTTGATGCAGCAGTGCCTGTGACATAGAAGAAAAAAGTTCACATCCAAAATACAAGGATTTTTAAAAAGCCCTGACAGAAATATAAAACAAGGTAGGTATTCACAAAAAAAAAAAAAAAAAAAAAAAAAAAATCCACTCCATTGTCACCACACTTAAAAGTATGAAAAGCTAATACGGTACAGTGTACACTTTATGTTTAAACTCATTTTACATTTAATGATGTAAAATCATTACATCATTAGGCCTAACTGCATCCTTGATATTAAGTATTCCAATGACAGCTTTCCCTCTGGCTATTGTTAATCGTGACAAATATTGTTATGCACGGACGTTTGGTGGTTTTTCTTATGGCCTTATGAATTTCAACTGGCAAATAATAATGCTTTCCATTCTGTAACATTCCTCAAGTTTGAAAAAACAATACTAACCGTAAACAATATTTAAAAAGCTGCACTTAAAACTGTCATTTTAAAATAATCTTTAAAAGATACACCTATCCCCTATAAATAATTCCAGACCCCTTGCTCAATATGAAATTCATATATATATATATATATATATATATTTTTTTTTTTTTGTAGAAAACCTGTACAAAAAAAAAACCAACAACAACAAAAAAAAAACTGGGCAGCTGTCCGAGGAGTCGGCTTAACTCTTCTTCCAGGGAAGGCCTTATTCTGGGGGACCACCAGGTGCGAGCAAGTACAGGTCGCCCCCCCAACCCTAACCCCCACCCCACCCCACCCCGCCCAGCCCCGGGTGGAGGACCCCTCAGGGGAGAGCCCCATACTCGCCTGACTTTTCCACCAGCTCCCGGACATCCTTCTTCTCGGGGAGCCCCGAGTAGCCCAGGCCCCGGCACTCCAGGATGGTCTTCAGCTTCTTGAAGCTCAGGGCCACCGGGTCCACCAGCTGGGTGGCGAAGATGCCAGTTTCATACCACACGATGGCCTCGAAAAACCTGGCCAGGACGAACAGGACCAGGAAGTAGAGGAGCAAGAAGAAGAGCTTCAGCCACATCTTCCCCGGCGTCTGCTCCCGCTTCGGGGCTCCGGGTGCGAGGCCGGGGCGGGCGGGGAGGCCGTGCTCTGGCCCCCGGACCGGGGCTCTCCGCGCGCGGGTCCGGCTCGCCGCCGCCGCCGCCGTCACTGTGGGCACATCCCCGGCCCCGCGGCGGGCGGCTCTGGGTGAACCTGCAGGGCGAGGGCCAGGCGAGGAGGGGCCTTCCGGTCAGGAGGCGAGAAAAATAAAAGGAGAGAACTTTAAAAGCCCCATCAATCACACACGGGGAGGAGAGGGCGCGGGGAGAGCCCGCGCTGGCAGCGGCCACTGCCCGAGGTGACGGGCCGGCCTTCCCGCACCACAACCTTAAGGGGAAGGGGGAAGCAAAAATAAAAAATAATAAAATAAAATTCCGACCCACAAAGGAAGCCGGGTGCAAGCTGCAAGCGGGCCCGGAGGGGCCGGCCGGGTCCCCGCGGCGGGTCAGGAGGACGCGGCCCTCGGTCCGGCCAGGCCCGGGGCCCAGCGCCCCGCGCGGGAGGAGCAGCCGCCGCAGCGCCGCGCCCGGTGCCCAGGGCCCCGGCCCCACCGGCCGACCAGGCTCCGCGACGAGCGCGGCGGGCACGGCGGCAGCTCCCGGTTCGCTCCGGCCGGCGGGCGGCGCCTTTCAGGCGGGCGAGCACGGCGGCCCGGCCCGGGAGGGGGCGTCGCGGTCTCTGCAGAGGGAAACGGGGCGCGCGGAGGAAAGGTCCTGGAGACAAAAAGGGGGAAAAAAATAGGCCCGAGATGGCTCCTCGTCACGCTGGGCCCGTCCCGCTCGGATGGGCGCAGTGGGTCCGGGCCGCCGTCCCTGACGCCCGGGTCACCTCACGAGGCCGCGACCGACGCCTCCGGAGCCGAGGACCCGCGGCGGCCGCAGCCCCAGCCGTGACGTAACAGCGACGTCAGCGAGGGGGCGGGGCCTGGGCGGGCCTGGCGGGCCTGGCGGGGCTTGGGCGGGGCGTGGGCGGGGCCCGGAGGGAGGGGAAGCGCCGGCCTAGCGGTGGGCGCGGACCACGTGCGAAGCCACCGCCCTGTCTGCGCTCGGAACAGCTCCCAAAGGCGCCCCTCCAGTGTGTTCTCTGAACTCTTTCCCTTTGCCCTGCAGATGGGTGTCTAGTAATCGATTTCATCCGAGGTCTGGACTTTGGACTGTGTCGCTTTGTTTATGTTTTGTAAAAATGGGTCACTTAATTGTCCTCTTAAAATCGGTAAAGAATAGGAGAGCATGTTGATGGTAGGTCCTGGTGAACTGGGAAAATCTTGGCGCAGTTTAAGGTGACCTGGGAACTGAGCGCTTCGATGGTTTTGAAGGCCCCTCCGCCTGAAGGCGGGCAGGGGAGAGACTGTAACTGGCAGGAGGCCAGTGGACCTGGCTCTACCTGCCCTCTGGCAAAACCTCTTCTAACACCCAGTGCACCAACTACATCCCCACCTGGAGATGGAAAAATCATTGTTTTCTGGGTTTCAACCTCCACCACCTCAAACCAAAGGGCAGTTAGAACCAGGTCCACTGGCCTCCTGCCTGCTACAGTCTCTCCCTTGCCCGCCTTCAAGCTGAGGGGCCTTCAAAACCAGACATCGAAGCGCTCAGTTCCCAGGACAAAGGTTGTTGAATGTTAATGTGTCCCAGTGCAAAATGTACCTGCATTTCTTGTCATTACTCTCACCGGGTGTGGGAGCAGGTTACATAAAATGAGCAGTGTGGGTGAGCATGCAGCACCGGGTTCTGTATTTATTTAACCCCAGTGGAGGATACTCTTTACGACATTTTCTGTGCCAGTCCTGAGGGAGAAGCAGGTTGCTTGCATACATAAACTAAGCAAGGCTGGCTTCTAACTGCCCCCTTGTTCATGAAGGGGAAAAAAAAAAATCTCCAAAATTACAAGAGAAACAGTAGCCAAACGTTGTGCAAAGCTATCATATGTCTCTAAGCAGGGGTGAAAGTTTTAGGAAGAATAAGGGGTGATCCTCACGCTTGGAGCGATTGAGGAATGGGAAACAAAGAATGAAGTGGGAGAATGTAGCCTTTAAATGGCACGTACCCCTTTAAAATAAAGCAAACTCGGCATTTCAGGGCACAGCTTGTGAAGGGGGACTTGGAAGCAGACCCCCTGGGGCAGGGAGAAAGAATCAGAGGAGGAGGCGAAGGAATGTAAGACCAGCCTTGGCCTCTGCTCCTGTGTCTTAATTAGCTTCAATGTGGCTTTGTTTCCATGGCTGGCAGATCAGTGTGGGAGCCTGTGTTAAACAGTTCATTCTAACAAGTCTGGTTCTGAAATTTCAGAATCCTTGGGCATGTCACAGTGACCCCGTTACTGGGCAATGTTGCTGTTCAAACCTTGACATCGAGGGTGCAGCCCTTCGTATCAAAGGAATGAACTCATTAGCATGGAAAGGCAGACCAAAACGCAAATACTATAAAAGGGGCAGACGGGAAAGTTGTGGTGTGAGCTGAAGATGGAACCAGTCAAGCCAAAGTTTCAAATTTGAAAAATATTAGAGGGAAAAGGGATTAAAGGACTCTGACACTTCTTGCTTGGTTCAGCTGCTTCCCATACCCCCCCCCCCCCCCCCCCCCACTCACACACACACTCTTGCCTTGTCCCCTCAAGGTTAACATTTAGGAAATAACAGCACTGATAAAAGAACCCTCAGGGTTGTGGGATATAGGAATATGGACATTTAGATCCTCTATTGATGGAAATGTACGTAAAACCTTTCAGAAGGGCAGTTTACAATGTGAATTAGAAGGGCTCTGAAATTCTTGCTCTTTGGCACAGTAATCTCACTTCCAGGAAGTTATCCTGAGGAAATAATTGGACATGGACACAGAGATGTGTGTGCAGAGTTTTGTTGCTGTAAAGTTAATCATAGAGAAAAAAGAAAGAAAGAAAACAAAAACAACCCAAGTATCTAGCAACGGAGGATTAAATACAGTAATACAAATGATGAACTATTAGGCAGCTACTAAAAAGAAAGATATATACATATGAGTATGGACATGAAACCATGTCCAAAATGCAGTGTTTGAAGGGGAAGAGCAGGTACTGAGAAGTTTGCATGATATGATTCTATTTTTGCATTCGTGCAAGAAAAAGACAGATGTATATATACACTTAAATGTTAATCATAGTCATCTTTTATTTTTTAAAAATATTTTATTGTGTTTTTTTTTCACAGAGAGAAAGGAAGAGGGATAGAGAGCTAGAAACATCAATCAGCTGCCTCCTGCATACCTCACTAGGGATGTGCCTGCAACCAAGGTACATGCCCTTGACCAGAATTGAACCTGGGACCCTTCAGTCCGCAGGCTGATGCTCTATCCACTGAGCCAAACTGGCCTGGGCAATCATAGTCATCTTTAGATGATTGGATTTAGATGATCTCATTTTTTTTTCTTTTGTGCTTTATCACTGCTAGTATTTTACGATTTTTCTTACATAACTATGCATTATTTTTATAACTTTAAGGTATCTTTTTAAAAATAAGACAACCTTACAGCTGCTTCCTGGTCAGGAGGTTTAGCAGTAGAGATTCATTCTTTGGGATTTCAAGAAAGAGGTTGGCTATATTCTCATACGGGTGATTTCAGTTTCCTAACTATTCCTAATTGAGAAGCCTAATTAGGATTTTTGTTCAAAGACCAGGATGACAAGCCTAGCTGGTTTGGCTCAGTGGATAGAGCATCGGCCTGCAGACTGAAGAGTCCCAGGTTCGATTCCAATCAAGGGCACATTCTCAGTAGTTGGTGTGCAGGAGGCAGCCGATCAATGATTCTCTCTCATCATTGATGTTTCTATCTCTCTCTCTTCCCTTCCTCTTTGAAATCAATAAAAAATATATTGAAAATAATAAATAAATAAATAAAATAGAACATCAATATCTTAAAACACACACACACACAACAACTAAAAAACAAAGACCAAGAAGACAAAAGAATGTTTGAATTTTTTATTGTTTTTCATAATCTGTTTCCTAACAGCTAGGCTATTAATCTGGGTTCTTGATTTTTCATCTCAGATTCTGTTAGTTTATGGGATGGCTTAAACGTCTTGTCATTTGGTTTTGTGGCAAGAGCATGAGAACCGTCATTACTGGGCCTGGTCCAGTGTAGTCTATTACCTACGAACTGTATTATCTTATTATGAAGCCACAAGACTCTCTAAATCACATTTTTATCATCTATAAAATGGAATAGGATGTTTATCCCATGAAGCTGTTGTAAGGATTAAATGTGGTAGTGAATGTAGAAAGTGCTTTGAAACAAGCATATTGCTTGTATTTAATTTTAAATGAAGAATTACTTTTAGAGTAAAAGATAATTAAAGTCTTTGACTGAACTGAACAAAACAGTTATTTTATTTAGGGTCCAAAGAGCCCTCCCTTTTTATTTTATTTTTTATCACAGTTTTACAGATACATAGTTTTAAAAGTAGAATAACACTTCAAGGCTTCATCCAAATTGGGACAATTTTGAGAATATAAGGAGCAATAACAAAATTATGCCAGACTAACAAGGATAAACTGGGACTGTCCCAGACAAACCCTACTTATAAAAAATATAGATTCTCTTATCCCTACCCACTCTGATTTCTATTTCTCAGAGACAGTTCTTTAAGCATTTTTCTCATGTTTACCTCTGTGTTTCCAATAATAAATTTCTACTGCTTTTCTATTTTATGCATTAATTATTTATTTCTTACTATGAAATATGAGGAATGATCTCTTTTATACCACCATTCATATACCATTTTCTTTTTCTCACTCCCAATTCAATTATATTATATATTCATTTTTATATTAATATGACCATATAAATCTTGTTCATGGCTGAACCACATAATTTATTTATTTCCTTTCTTATGCAATTGTTCAATTTCCCTGGAATTAATAATTAACTCAAATTTTGCTTTATCCTATTTTTTGGGTCCTGTCCACTTATTCATCTCTGTCTGAACTATGTGAACTATGGAACT